AATGACCCTCTAAAAGGATGCAAATGACCAGCTGTCTGCAAGGAATATAAATCCTTCCATTCCATTCTTGGATGAGAAGCAAAATATCTTCAAAGAAAAAACAAAGTCCAGTTGCCTCCTGAAAAAAGCACCTTTGGAACAGTTAATGCACCGAGAAGGCAGTTCTGGATAATTTGTACATAGAGCAGATACAAACGGATTTGGTCTAGGTATGAAGTCAAAGCACCTGTACCCTAAGCATATGTATGTCAGTGTGTGTCAGGATTTGTGCGACCAGGGCAATTTGGACAGCAGAGATGAGGGAAAAGAAAAGGGGGGGGGATGAGTTGTGTATTCCATGCTTGATTTCAGCCATGGTGGTTGAGTGGTAAAAGAAAGGATGGTCCTGGGAAGATCAAGGCAAGAGTTGCAGGTTGCCTGGGCCAGTTAGATAATGCCATGCTTGGATTCAGGTTTGCTGCATGAGGAGTAATAAATGGAAGGAACTGAGGAGCATAAAAGGGAAGTTCTGGGAAAGTCAGAACACAGACCATCAGAAGGAAGTGGGTGAGGTGTGTAATATGCCCTGCTCATGCTCTAAGACTCATAGGTTTTGTCTCGGCCAAAACCCAGAACCACCATCTTTGAGTTTTGCTAGTGTGTAATTCAATTTGCAGTGTGTTTGTTTCAGATCCAAAACAAAACACATTTTTCATGTTACGCATCTTGTCTACTCCACTAATGTAGCAACATGTCTGTGGCAACATTTCTGTTCTGCTTAGTTTCTTCTGTATAAAATTATATCTCTAATATTGTAATAAATGTTAAGAAAATGATTTGTGAGGGTTTGAAGAAAGTATATCTAATAATTTAAATATTTTTCTTTAACATGCTTGCTTTTACAGAAGGATAAAAAAGATAAAGCAGAAAAGCAGAAACGGAAAAAGCATACATTAGCTGAGACTGAATTACTGGATTTGGAATTGGAGCCACCAAAAGCAAAGAAAATTAAAAAAAAGAAACAAGTGGCTGCTAAAAATGAAGATGCAATTTCAGAATGCAATTCAATATCTCACATGAGTAATGGGGTAAAGCTCTCAAAAAAGGAGAATAATTCTTGCGAAGGTTCACATACAGAATGTGAAAGTGATCAAGATCAGGTAAGATAATTTATTCTCTGTACTAAATATATTTTATTTAGAATGTCAATACTATAAAGGAGGAAGATCAGAAATTTCACAGCTATGTCAGGGCAAAGCTTAATCCTGATGACTTAGTATAATGTTTATGTGCATTTCTATTTGAATATTAAGTATTTCTGAGATTATAAAAACATGATTTTATAGACTGGGAGTTTGAATAAATAAACATAGAATCGGGCTGCATATCTCATTCTGGGATTCCAAATATAGTATGTAATATGTTAATATATGGCTCTACATGTTAATTTTAAGATATAGAGCCACTTCCTTATGATATTTAATAGGTAGTCCTTATTTTAGGGACTGTTTGATTATGACAATAATGAAAAAGTAACATGACTAATACTTACATATATGAAATTACGGTAAAGTGCATTCATAGTTTCACTTAGTGAATGCTTTACTTAATAACCAAGTAGCCAGTCCCAATTGTATCTAAATGTAGACTATCTAAATTACCACAAGGCATTTGTTTATGAGACATATTTATTGCCGTGCATCTCGCCGAAATGTGACGCTTCCTGGGTGGTGTACATAGAACCGTAAAAAAATAATTACAAAAATACTCTAAAATTAAAACATAAATAATATTAAATAAAAAACAGGGTAGGGAGAGCATAGATGTTACATACAATGTAGCCACCTCATTAAATCTCCATTTCTGTGAGCCCCTTAAGCCTGTTGACATAATCATGCTTTAAGGGACTTCTGTAGAGGAACATCAGGGAAGGTTCCAGTCTCACCTCGGGGGCTGGGAATGATGTTCCACAGGGTGGGTGCCAGGGCAGAAAAGACCCATCAAATAATTGCTTAGAGACAGAGCATGCATCTCCTGCTGGATCTGATGTGACAGGTAGATGTAGTTGGAAAGATGCAACACCTCAGATAACTTGCCCCATGCCATGAAGGGCTTTAAAGGCCAGAAATAGCCTTTGGACTCAGAAACAAATTGGCAGCCAGTGTAGCTTGCAGAGCAGAGTAAAATGTGTGCCATTCTAGGAGCACACATAACTGCCTGCACCGCCGCATTTTGGACCAGATGAAGCATCTGCATGCTCATCAAGGGCAGTCCCATGCAGCGTACATTACAGTAGCTCATCCTGGAGAAGATCAGCAGAGCCCCTTGATCCAGCAACTCACATCATTGTTAAGGAACTGCCAGTCTTCAATACTAAGCTCAGTGGACCAGTGATGCTACTTAACAGGCAGGTTCATATGTTATAGCGGTAATCAGATCCTAAAGTTATGAAATAATAAATCTCTGTGTATTAATAACTGAAAGCAACATTTTAGAATTACCAGTATTCTTTTGTCATATTCCATATGGTACATGCTACCATGCAGAAAATATCACAACACAGTTGTTAGTATTTATCCTCCATTATTTTATATTTTCCTACTCTTTGTATTTCTGATGTTTATCTTTGGTGCATTTTGTATTTGACATCCTTCGCACATCTATGTTATTTACACGCATGCATGCATACATACATTATTGCTCTGTAAAGAAATTATAACAATGGTTGCATTTAATTTTTTCCCCTTGGGAATATTTGAAAGTGTGGGTATTGAATACTGTAGATGCTTTTTTTTTCTTCTTTCAGTTCTTTAAATATTTTTTGGAATTAAAATCTTATACTTTCTATAACTGCTTTTTATTTTTGTTTAAAATAGGAATTAACTGCAGAACAAAAGGAAGGTGCTTTTGCCAATTTTGATATCTCTAAAGCAACCCTTGATCTTCTGAAAGGTATATACATTGAATGTTTTCAGCCCGAAGCAAATTTTCACTTATTTTCTAATTCTGGTAGGCTGATGATCTCTGCACAAGAGGATTTGATGTTAGCAGATGAGAATCCATATACTTGAAATATTCCTATATTCATTGATGAGTTACTGTCTGCACAAGATTTGCTTAACTTGCTTAACTTAACTTGGTTTTCAACTGAATATGTTTTTACTCTTTTATTTTGGAAGTAAGGGGTCAAATTTCGGCTTGTTCTGATATTACTGTAGTTCTTACTAGATCCTGTACATGAATAAATTTTATGTTTTTTTAAAAAAGCTCAGAGATAACAATTTGGGGAATAGTAAGTGCATACAACATTTCATGTAGATATGCAAACTATATATAGCTTGGTTAAAAATGATAAGAGAGCTATAATTTCTTGGTGCAAACACCTGAGCAGTATCACGTCCTTTTACAATTGATATCTTGCGCATTTCTGTAGGGAGGTTGTCTCCAGGCATTTTTTAATCATTCTAGAGTTCAGGAGTTAAGCAATTAGTTGCAGCCTCAGGACAAAAGAAAAAAAAATTCCATGATCTATGGCAGTGGTCCCCAACCTTTTTTGTACCACGGACCGGTACCGGCATCAGCATGCACGACCAAGGCAAGGCGAGCCGAGCGACCGGCCAGCCAGCCGTCCCCCGCTTCTCCCTACCACCTTCAACTCCTTTGTACCTTCTCGCAGTCGATGGGCTTTTCGGGCTCTTTCTTAATCTCCTCCTGAGTAACGCGAGACTCCACCGCCATCGGGACGGCTCTTTGTTCGAAGCTGCCCCCCCCTTCGACGAAACTAAGGCGCGAGGATTCCTTCAGCACCCAAACGCCGCTTTCCAACCGACAAGCTCACCCAGAAGCACTTTCTCAAGCGCCGTCGAAACAAGATGGCGGTGCCCAAGCAACCACTAGCCACCATTCTTTGCGGCCCGGTACAAAATGATCCACGGACCAGTAAAGGTCTGGGGCCCGGTGGTTGGGGACCCCTGATCTATGGGATTAACTATCTGTAAATTTCTAGGACAGCATTTTTCCGTCTCAGCAACTGATTTGTGGACTTCAACTTTATGTTGGCTGGACATTTGGGAGTTGAAGTTCACACAGGTTAAAATTGTTGAGCTTGAGAAACATTGTTCTAAGAAGAAGGAGGAAGGAAGATTTGATTCATAGATCTGGTGGTGGTTGTTGCTTTTAGGTAGAATGTTGGACTCCATATGACTTGAGTGTAGTAATTTGTAAAGTATTTAATAACAATGTCTCTAGAATAGTCTCGTGTATTTTCTTTTTTTAAGTTTTGTTAGAGAAAAAAAATATAAGCATATATTTTTCTAGATAAAATCTAATAGTATTTTTCCACAGCTCGTGGTGTCACCTACTTGTTTCCAGTACAAGTGAAGACTTTCAAGTCAGTATTTGAAGGCAAAGATGTAGTTGCCCAAGCTCGGACAGGAACAGGGAAGACATTCTCCTTTGCCATTCCGTTAATTGAAAAACTTGATAGAGATCCACAGGAAAGAAAAAGAGGCCGTTCACCAAAGGTAATGAACTCACAATAAAATTACAAACTTGAGTAGGGGGACAAAAATACATTAAATCACTCATATGATAAGAAGTACATGGTGATGTGGACTGCAAATCTATTTGCCTTAACATCTTTATTAAGTTTGGGAGAATGGGGAGGATGATTCAACTTGTTCTTAGTGCTGTATAATTGTACAAGATTTCACAAATAATTCTCTTTGTAACTAGGTACTAGTTCTGACTCCAACCAGAGAATTGGCAATGCAGGTTGCCAGAGACTTCAAAGATATTACAAAGAAACTTACTGTGGCTTGTTTCTATGGAGGAACAGCGTATAATGGACAGTGTAAGAAAGTACAAGTTGCTTTTTGATGATATAACATTTCAATTTAAAAATACCTTTTTAAAAAAACTGTCTTCATTGTTTTTTTAAATGTGCATTATATTGGTCCATAATACTTAAAAAAAACTGTTGTAATGCATCATGCTCATTTGTTGGACATGTAATGTAAATAAATTGTAACATGTTATTTTAATGTGTTATTTGAAATAGCCGAAAACATACATATCAAAGTGAAACAAAATCAATTTAATCTTATGCATACTTGAAGGAACGTTTTAGTGTGATGCTTTAGGTACTTTAGAGTGGTGCTTAGTTTAAAGTAAATGTTCATTGTGGCTTTAGATTCTTACATTTGTAACATTATTTAGAATACGTATTACATTAAGCACATGAAGATGAAAACTGTTGGAACTTGTTTGGTGACTTAAAAAAAAATATGGTTCAAACTCATAAGTAATGCTGACAGATTTCAGAACATTGGCCTAACAGTAATTCTTAGAGTTAAGAATTAAGTTTGATAAATAACATGTTAAAATTCCTTCTAGTGGATCTAATTAGAAATGGCATTGACATCCTGGTTGGGACTCCTGGTCGAATAAAAGATCACCTCCAAAATAATAAATTGGACCTTTCTAAATTGAAACATGTAGTCTTGGATGAAGTTGATCAGATGTTGGATATGGGATTTGCTGAACAAGTAGAAGAAATCTTAGTGAATTCTTACAAGAAAGGTAAGCATGTTGTCGGTGTATCGGTTCCATTTTGGAATCTTCTGCTCCTGGGTTTTAATGCTTAGAGAGTATGTAAGGGATTAAGTGCAGGATTAGGAAAACCAGTTGGTCCATTCGATCACTGATTCTGTGTCAAATTTAACTATATGGTAAGTTTAATTTGGAGCCAATTGTAATATATTGTAGGGCCTGAATATAAAGAACTGGAATATAGTTTAAAAGTTGTATCAAAATAACCTGGGGTACAGGTTATCAAAGACAATTAGGAGTAGAATTAAAATCACTAAGCGACATGGTTATAAAATGGGATGTCACATTGCTTAATGACAGTCGTTCTAGTGCTTCCTAATTGCAATGTTTAAGAGAATCCCCTGCCGTTGTTAAGCAAGGACATCATGCCGTCATTTACGACCCCATTGATTCTCTGCTGACTTTGCTCGTAGGAAGTTGGCGAAAAATCTCACAAATAGTGATAGGGATGCTGCAACAGCCGGAACTTTTGAGGACTGCTCATAAGTATCACTTATTCAGAGACATTGCAAGTTTGAATGAGTGGTTGTTAAGCAAGGACCACCTGTATACTAACAGCATTATAATTTATTCCCTTATTTCTTTGGAAGTATTTGGCAATAATGACAGCACGCAAATAATCAATTTGCTTTTTATTCTGAGATGTGTTCTCTTGTTGATTATATTTTACATAACAATGATTAGAGATGTACAAAACATTGTGAATTCAAATCGTTGGGTGCTACTTTGCTCATTTGGGGAATGTTTGAAACCTAAAATCTGTTGAGTTTTTCAAATGGCATGATGCAAACTGAAAGCAGGGCATTCAGATTCAAAGAACGTATATTTCTAGATACTATCATATAAATGTTTCTAGCTTTTATGAGCATGTATATGGATTTTCCAAAAGTTTATATGTGCTATTTATTTGTTTAAGATTCTGAAGATAATCCACAGACACTCTTGTTTTCTGCAACTTGCCCTCCGTGGGTTTACAATGTAGCAAAGAAATATATGAAATCCAAATATGAGCAAGTTGATCTCATTGGAAAGAAGACTAAAAAAACTGCTATGACTGTAGAGGTAAATTAACTTTTTATAATAATATAAGATTAACACTGTAACTGCATCTGGATGGAAATCATTAACATGTATGCATACCCCTTTCTAAGGGTGTCTGTAGGATCTAGTACAGGGGTGGGCAAACTACAGCCCGCGGGCCACATCCGGCCCGTTGGTCTGTCCAATCTGGCCCGCCCCTGAAAAAAAATAGCTGGGCTATTACCCTGCGCCACGTGGCCCCCAAAGCTGCAAAACAGTGCGGAGCGCTCTTGGGGTAGGAAAGAAAAGAAGAACTTTGCAAAGGCCTCGGCTGGGAGT